GTTTGACGCACATAGTTTGGAAGCACTTAATGTTGCATGGTACAATGGAGCTTGTCAAGGTATGATGGCCTCAAGGTCAGATTAACATCTTCCAGTCAGAAAGAAAAAGAGCAAAATCAGGAAATCTCACTCTGGATTATTGTGAGGTATGGCAGTGAAACAGATACTGTCTCCCTGTATCGTAGGTTTCCTCTGTGTGATACGTACACAGACAAAGCGGGATGGTCACGCATCTGACATGTGCTCCACATGTTGCTCACCCCAGGATGAGAGCAAAGCTTTTGGTAAGCTGCTTTGCGGCTTGCGAATTATGGCCATCATCGGCCAGTAATGTACTATAATCACATTGGTCATGATGATGTAACATCCTAAGTTATACATGGATGACAGGGACGTCTATATGTGACAGGAATGAAGTAGTTCTGGTGTCCTCTATGAAGACTTCTATAAAGTGCTGACCATTCCTGTTGCTTAGCCTGTCCAGAAGATTGCCACTCAGTAGGAACATGTAAACTGCCATTCATGCTGCTCTTTTTTTCCTCCAAGGTAAACATGACTACACTACACAGTCTCCTCTGGGATGAGGCATGAATGAATCATCCCTCAGCCTTTTGTGCTGCAGAAAAATAGCCTCTCCTGCTCCATCCAGCCGTCTGATTTACAGGACAATGTGAACCACGCTCAGACTGCAGCAGTGCAGGGCTGTTTGCCGGACTTGTCAAATAAGGGCATCATAGATGGCGTTGTCTCCGCCCTTATTGATTCGGGGCTCTTTCAGCTAATGTTTGTGCAGTCTGTCAGCAGCTATCGATGACTTCAAATACACTTCAAGCTCGTGACATGCAATTATCCCCTGCCTTTATGTTACCTCTTGCATTCAGGAGCCACATAGATCGGCGCTACATTACCACATCAAGAGCCTCTATTTCTGCCAGAGTCATTTCCTCGGCCAATCTTCACCCAACATTTCTTTCTCCCAGCGACAGAGAAGCAGTGGCCGTGCCATCAACCAGACATAATGTTGCCCACTCCCCTGCCTGAGTCGGAAGGAAATTGCCGGTGATTATACGTTCTTGAAGTGGTCAGAAACACTCATCTTAGCTGCAGGACTGCGGAAGAACCGTGTTGCAGACATTTCTAATTGGATCAAATGGCCGTAATGGGGCAAGTGAAATATTTGTCCTCATTTGCGTCAAGGCCCCGATTTCTTACGAGTACTTCAAACAGATAACCAGGGGTAGAGAGCCAAGGTTTTGTGTAATAGGGTGGAAGCGGGAGAGAGATACACCCTACCCAACATCACAGCCTTCTGGTAACGATTAGTCGAGAAAATGTTCAGTGGCTTGGACAAAATTGACTTGAGTACGCGTATGTACCGACTGGACAGCAGTCCACTCAGGCAGTACTTATATCTGTCCGGGGACATAGGCCTGCCATTTCATGGTGGAGGACTTCGGATTTCACCGTTGAACATCAAGAATTTATGAACATAATGGAAGTACAGCTGGAGCATTCGCTCTGCCGTCCAATTCAAATTTGCAGTAAGTATCAGTCATTACCCATATCCTCCGTGCGCACCATGAAAAGAATTACAGGAGCTAATGTCATTGTCATTGACTGAGGAGCATAACTTGTAGAGCACATACCACCTGTTGGGATGGAACACTTACCGAGAGAAAACTACTTTCCCCCATACACATCAAAGCCCCCTTTAATTGGTTGTTTTGTATGTCGTCAATGATGTGCAGGGTACATTAAAATGCTCCACATAAACGTAGGAGGTAAAGAAGAAAAATGGACCGCATTAATCTTAGCAAGGATGCATGGCAAGAATGTGGCATTCATCATCATTTATGGTGCCGTTATGTTCCTCTCCTTATTCCGCTTTCTGCTCAAGACATTTACAGGTACTTAGAGAGCATTACGCCATGATAGGGTTTTGGGATTGAAGATAGATAAATCTGACACCGTTGGGTGGCCTTCAGTGCAATGGATTTGAATGAAAAGCACAATTGGCAAATTCCTGCATTGATGTGTAGCTGCAGGTAATGCTGCATTCGCTTACGGGACAAAAATCGTGATCGCTCCTGATGTCGATCCGTTGTTGGTTTATGGAAGCGGATCACGGGGGCTATCGAGTTTGAGGAAAATTTAGACGGAGGAAAGCCGAGCTCTGGGAAAACACAATTGTTATCTGCACACGGCTGTGGAGCAGATATACAGAGTGATCCTCTTTATTCACGTCTGATAGTTGGATCTAGGAAGGTCAGTCTTATGTCTCCCCTGTTCATCTGTAAAAGGCAGCTTGAACTGAACTTGTTGCTGTTGCCTTACTGTGGCCATGTTGCAGTCTGGTTCATGTAACCAACATACCCTCACACTTGCTTTGGACAACAGAATAAATGCCTTAGGTGTAGATACTCAACAGATGAGGAGCAAATATCTCTCCAAGTTGTAAACTTGTGTTAAACTCTGGTAGTTGGTATATTTCAAGGCCGATTACTTTTAAGGACCTTTTAATATTATGTCCTTATGGTACTATTTGGTCCTCCAATATGTGTTCAACTAAATATAGCCCCTTGTAAGCTTAAACCAGGGGGAGAAAATCAATAATGATTTGCCTGTTCGGACGGAAATGATGCCCTGCCAGACTAACAGAGATCCCAACTTTTAAAGTACTGGATGGGCGACCTTGAAAAAAATTACTGGTATTTTCAATGTTATCGATTTTGTCATGATGGGTATACCTGTGTGATACGCCCACTTTCGTCTGAATCAATAAACCTTTTATCATACGAGGTACAAGCACGCCCACAAATTATAACTTTCTCTATCACGGCTTACGAGAGCGAATGCTTCAATTCGAGTTATTGCCGAGTAAGCAAGTGGTATAATCTGTCGTCTGGATATTTGTTACTGCGTGTAACTTTACGAAGTACTTAATTTCATGGTTTGAGCTAGCGGTAGTAACTCATGTGCCTTTCCTGCAGCGTAATCAGGATTGTTTAAAGTGAAAACAGTGATTAGAACGGGTAAGTTGTTTGTAAGCTTGAGGAAGCACTGCTGCTTGATATAGCGAGTGATGTCCTTGGTGCTGAAACTGTTATTTCGCCCCCAGATATGTTTACAGAGGAGAGGCGGGAGATCGTTAAAAGCTGCTAATTATTCAATAAATAACAATTAAGCAGAGCAACATCATACTGCTACCCTATCAATACTTTATCTGTAATGAATTAATCAGTTGGTTTCTAAACAATAGTTAGTACCCTTGTTATGGCCATTTTTATTGACACAAAAATGTTATGAAAAGTGTCCTGCCTGCCAAAAATGCCCTTTGGTTTAGTGTTATGAGTTTTTGTAGAGGCATTCCCTCCATCAGTCCAGTGTAGTCACTCCTAGTGTCTAAACAAGTGTCAAATCCTGTTGGGAGACATGGTCATTAGAACATGGAGTATCACTAACTGAAAATAGTTTGTTTGGAAATGAACAATAATTACAGAGAAAAGAGTTGCCAGCTTGAACATAGTTTGATTTGTCTAGCTAGCTCACTCTAGCAGAGTTACAAAGTAACCAAATGAGACAGGTCAACGGGGCTATATCTCCCCTTGGATCTGGATTGCATAGTGTGTCGATGGATCATAGGCTCACTGTTGCTTCGTGATATTAGAATTAAATTTCATATCATGGGTATAGACAAGGGTTATCGACTGATTTTGGCCGGACGAACCAGTTATAACAAGTTTGATGTATCGAGGGATCAGTCCTCATTTCCAGACATTGTATTCTCATCCGGAGACATGACAATACAGATTGTTCAGTCTCAATCATCCGATTGTCCGGACGCAATCAACAGTGGTGCAGTAATCAGCTCATCAGGACGGACCATGCTGCAATATTGTAACAAATAATGGCAAGTGGCAAATTGTCATTTTTATGGCCCCAGGTTCATTACCAAGGCTTCTGTCTGATGTCCAGAGATGGCCTGTGGTCAATCAATGCAGGAGCAGGTTATACAAGTTTGATTGGGTCCCATTGATGAGTGGTGGCAATCTGCCCTCCCCAGTTGGCCATGAAGGTTGGGAGGCAAATTTGTGTTAATCAGAGGTTCTGCCAATCATAATGGATGTGCCATAAAGAATGGATGATGCCAGCATGCAGGCCCCCGCTAGCAATACCTCGAGCTGGTTTTGAACTCACCAAGTTCCTACATGTACTGCACTAAGCAAAAACCTACCAGAAGTTCAATGTTCTGGTAGGTTTCCTTGCTCTGAATAATACATTGGACCTATCGTTGCAATCAGTCTAGCTGTAAGCTCATGGGATGCTGGAATCTCTTATCCTTCAGTTACCTTGTCTTTTAAACAATTGCACGCTTTTCTATTATTATAATTACCCATACCTTAATCTCCTCTGCTATCGCACTGTAAATGACATACCGTGTCTATTTTCTGTACATTACAAAACTGTCCTTCGTCTCCACTAGCTATAGCAGCCCATCTTCCTTCAGAACAAAAGAAACATAACATACATACTATGTTTTGAAATTGTTCCAATATCTTCTAATGTCTTACAAAACATAGCAGTTCTTTCACCACCGGTAATTTGAGCTGGTTTCTCAGCCCTCCATACATACAATGGAAGTTCTCAATTTTTCAAGACTGTTTGCTATAAAGGTATCTGTATCTGTATAGCCGATATAACCACCCTTAGGCATAACACACCAGCTTCGCAGGCTACATTACACCGAACGACTTGTTACACCTAACCCTTGAACATCTAACTCTAAACATTGTTTAAAGCTATCTAATGATAATGCCCCGACTGTACTTGGTGACAGCGAGTTCCACTCTGTGATAGTTCTAGGAAAGAATTAGTTTTTGAACACCTCAATCCTTGGCTGATAACTCTGGTACTTGAAAGCATGGCTATTTCTTGTTCTTTTCTAGCAAATTTAATAGATGGTTATGTGCTGACAGTGTGTTCCTCTTGTGTTGCTACAGCCCTGTTTGCAGTGCCCAGGAACTACAAGCTGGTGGCTGCTCCCCTGTTTGAGCTGTACGACAATGCACCAGGCTACGGGCCCATCATCTCCAGCCTGCCCCAGCTGCTCAGCAGGTATCAGCTAAAGTACATGAACTGAAGGTACAAACACAGGACAGAGTCTGGACCGTTTGCTCTGCTGAACGCATGGGGAATGTGCACGTTTTTTTTGGCATGAAAAACACTTGCAGTGTGTCAGAACTTGTATTTGATGTAAAAGTCGCCAAGAATAACAATTGTATACAGGGTTTTCACAGATTCCAGATTGTAAACAATTGTCTTGTATTGCAGTTTAAACAATTGCACGCTTTTCTATTACCCATACCTTAATCTTACACTGTTGAAAACAAGTTTTCTTCCAAAGTGAAAGCTACCTTTTCTCCACATGAACAGTCATGGAATTTTTTTTAATATTTGAAATGTGAAATACAATGTAAAGACTAGCGCAGGTATTCATACGGGTATTCACGTTTTTATGGTTCCATCTGTATATTGTTATTGGCAGATAGTCAGTGTTTCAAAAGAGCTACTAGTACGTGTACATGTCACAAGATGGCTACCCTAGAAATTCACTATTCCCGGAATTTTCTAAATCCACAAATTTATGCCTTATCACTGCTTTCTAAACATCACTTGATGCAGCCCCACAATTTTGTACGTGGAGGTGATCCCCTTTGTTCCATCAGAGTGAATGGCTCAGAAGACAGAGTGACTGCTGTTGCCCTTGTTTGACACTTTCAAAGCTATAACATCACCACATACTTTGTAGTGTTTACCAGCCATCATAGAGAGCCTTCAACAATTTGTCATCTAGACTTAGCATTGTGTGGACTTGGAATACAGTGGATGTAACTCAGTGTGAAGATTGCTCTGTGCATGCAATCGTGACATCACAAATTAAAGAAACTAACCATATTAACGATTGTTAAAATTTGACAGGGAGACTTGCACTGTTGTACTTTCCAACAGTATTAACACTAAGCTGTAGCTCTGATTGTAAATGGAAGACTCAACTCTTGTAATTACATACTCTATTACTCTATTATACTTACACTATTCGAGACAAAATGTCAAAGCTCAATCTGATACAAAGTACGCTTTTCATACGTGGAATAAGACAGTATTAAGTGCACCCTGTGGCATTTAGTATACCTACCTTTGAGGGAACCTTAGTTGTGGTTACCAGTACTTTTGAAGCGTTTAGGGAGCACTTTTAGCAACCACTGGTCCCCAGAACGATATCACAAAACTTCTCTGGGTGCTCTTAATGTATCGATCTGTACCAAGAAGGACTTTGCCGTTGAATATCGGACATGGTTTGACAAGCACCGGGCCTGCTTCATCCATCACATAGCCAGTAATCACAGGCCTTCTGCCTGCTGTAGCCCTGGGACTCGCTAGCATTTGAGTCCAATGCTGGGACTCATCAATAAGAGAAAGTTCACTATCGCCAATGTCACAAGGGACTTTGAAAACTTCCTGTACAACAGTCAACCTATGGACCTTTAAGTTGCTGGAAATGTTCGAGTGATTTGCTTTTAAAATTACTATATATAGCATTCATGATTTAATGAATATCTAACAAGTCTGAATTATTGATATCAAAGCTAAATATTAGTTACACTCTGTTACCTTTTTGAGCTACAGCAGCAGTAGAATAGTGTACTAAGTCAGTTTTATGCCTAGAATTGTTCAAATATTTCCTCTGTGTCCAGCAAATTTAATGGTTAGATTTTAGACGCAGTAGAAGTTAGAAGACAAACTTTTGAAGCACTGTAAAATCATGAGTGAAGTTTGACACTGAAGTTGTTCCTATTAAACAGGAAGTTTTAAGAGTTGATGGTGGTAAAATGTTTTGAATAAAGCTAATGTCTCGTTTTCCAAGTGTATCGTATAAATGGTCACTCCAAAAGGGTGTAGTTGGTATGCAGAGAAAGGTCGTCTTTTATGACTGAGCTCCATTTATGAATATGTCATCCATGCACCTGTGTCTGCTGGGTTTATTGACATTGCAAATTTATGCTTCCTGTCTAATTTGTGTGGTTACGACACGTCGATAAACAAGACGAGTGCCCAGCAATGCAATTGTTCAGTTGGGTGCCATATGACATTTTCATAAGGACGGAATCGGAGCAAACGCAATTAGTGATTTTTCCCATGTATGCCGCTTGTCAGAACTAATCTCTAACCAGGTTTATCATCCCTGCAATCATGGCTTTTATGTGGCTAATTACCTTCTGCCACAATGTGGAACCAAGAAAATTCCCATGTTTATTGTTGGACACATGGGTACACATAATGTAGGCCGGAGAGGAACATTCTGTATCACGTCTACACACATCTGAAAGTTTGGGGCTGGGAAAGTCGTGATACTGCTGTGGGTTGTCATGTAGGAATAATGATGTATATTTCATGACCTGACAACTCTACCAATGCTCAGTGAGCGTATCAAGATTCATCTTAACTTAATGTCAGCCGAGGGGGAACATACAGACCGAGGCTCTGGCACCCAGATGTGCCCAGCTCACAGTTATCAATATGCAAGTACGGGGAAATGCCGCCGGCCCTGCGATGATAGCCCCCCGACAGGGTGCGGCGCCTTGTACCCAGATGTCCGACCGTCGTTTTCCCCGGTGTGGCCGTCTTCCCAAACCACTCTGTCAATGTCGGAGTCGTAATGGCCCTCCGCTGTGTGCAGGCTAGTGAGGAAAATGCAGAAGTAGCAACAGGACACGCAATTTAGTGTCTGTAATCCGGGAAAGCAGATCGGATCCTCCTTGGTCTGTTGCCTGTGGCGAGCCGTAAGCCTGCAGCTTGTGGCTACCTCTAAGTAACCTTGACTGGAACGGGAACGGCTCTATGTTTAGGGCTCCCGCTGGGCAGGCTGGAACAGGAGGCATTAAGCCTCGCTGGTTACCAGTAAACCAGCCTGACCTTGAGGACACAAAATGACCATAGAGGACACTGGGTCAAAGGGCATGTTGTGCGACATATAACACTTCCAGGAAAAACTTTTGGCCATAACTTTTGCTGTCAGTTAAATTACATGTTCACTGCTGTTTGAAATGTCAAATGAGACAATTATAACACCATACTTTTATATAATATTAGTTATACAATAGTGTGTTTAATAAAATCTTTACCATTGCTTTTGAAGTGAAAGCTACAGAGTTACATTTATAAATTTTTCAATACTAGATGCTCCTTAAACTTTTGATAGTCAAAAGTTGATAAGATGTACTTTGAATGTAAATCAGTTTGGTCTTTACTTACCACTCTGGACCATTAAAGAAGCATAAAGACATAAACATCCACTACAGATGAGACGTGATGATATTTACCACCACAAACTGCTTTTTCTTCTTCCATAGGTTTACTTTAGAAGCTGACCTCCCATATGTTGTACAGCTGCCTAACTTGGTCCGTCTCCTCATTTCAGATTCAATTTCATCTACATGTGACCATCTGCCCCTAGCCGGCCCGGGTAGTTACAGATCTGATGGTGTATTAGGAGTCTAGAGCCAGCAGCTGATACCACAGCACAGAGGAGGGCATGCTGACCTTGAGGGAGACACAGCACAGCAGGCAGCAGCCCATGTCCAACTGCCCACCCACCCTCCACTGTCTCCCCCAACAGGGGGGCTTTGTAACTTTCCCTCTTTTGTTGTCTTTAGCCTTTGTAGTGCAGAGGGCCGATTCCCCATTCATTAGAGACTGTCAGATGAGGTTTTTGTTTCCAGACTTCCAGTAGTCAATTAAGTTTTGGTGGGTTCATTGTTGTTAGAAGATGATGTCCAATTTGCCGCATTGTGTTTAGTAGCACCCCATTGTAGAAGTTATGTCTCCCTGTAGCCACCCTTTTACTTGTCGAGGTACCTTATTACTCTGTGTTAAGTTTTATACTGATGTACGTACATGTAGTCAATAAAAACGGCCAGCAATGGATGGTCACCCTTCACCTAATTGTCTCTTGCACTGATTTTATTTCTGATGGTTAGAAAAGATAGTCTGGTGGAAGAACATTAAAATGACATTATAATACAGTAAGTTCCTCTATTGCTATTCCAACTCTATTTAGGTCATTCTTTACATTTGACATTCTGTCAATCTTCCTCAATTTGGTTTCCCTCTGTTTGGAGAAGTCTGATTTAGTTAGAATCTACCTTTTCTCTTAACAAAGATGTTAAAAAAGGAATTTTCATATATTCTTTACAAAATGGACATAGACAGTGTATGCCGAGGTCTCTTTTCATATAACCTCTTGCCTAATAGTGTCATGTATGCAAATTTATTGATAAACTATGTTACTTTAAAACCTTTAATGGATAGTTTGACCGACCATTTCGGAGCCTTATTGTGGTGTTCATTACATATGAAAAAGTTTGAATACGTCATGATATTTAAAGCATTACCCCGCTTTTTGCAATAACTTTTTGTTTCCTGTTTTCTCATAAAAAATGTCACGGTTTTAAGTACTTCAATGACAGATGAATTCAGTTTCCTGTGTGTTTTCAATTAAGGCAAACGTTTTTCTAAACAATGTTCTGTTTGTCACCAAACTATTTATGTTGTGAATTTCTCACATGCTTGAGCGAGATAGACCCAGGCCTTCTTCAGTTTTGAAAGTTGTACTGATTCTATCACAAGTTTTGGAAAACTTCCATGGACAAGCCACGGGGTTGGTCCAGAATTGTTGAATACATCAAGAAGTGGCCTATCCGCTGCCACATTAGCGTTGAAAATCCCCAACTCCATGTATCACTGTTGCTTGAAGCTACAGTGCTTCTACTAATGACTCGTGAAAATGTGCATCAGTCCGCCAATTTCTCCGTTTCGCCAAGTCTTCAGGAAATGTTTTTACAATGGGAGACTCTCAAACGGAACTGCGCACCGGCGTAGTAATGTTGTTAAGCAATTTGCCGAGAGCCAAAGGCCTCTTCCAGTAACGATTCGTGGAAATTTAAATCACTTTAGCGATTCCGTTATCTTTGGAAGCACCGGCAGTAAGGACGTAACAAGAAAATGTACTTAAGAGTGGTAAACGACCAGAATAGACCATTGCAGCAAGGGGAGCGTAATTTGCGTGCTTTAACTTTACAATTAGCGGTCATGGGTTTTCAAGGGAAATGAAATATTAATTGCTATGTTTTTGTGGACTCGTAAAAAAAAGCAACGCTAATGCAGGAGAGGACCTAAGGATTATTCCACGTAACGCAGAGATTGGGCTTTAGGTAATTGAATTTGATACAGAGAGGCAGTAATGGTTGGATTCGGGAAGATATTTCCCATTCAGATTACACTGAGGTCCCTCTGTGAATTCTAACTCCCTAATAGACCTATCTGTGTAGCGGTCCTTTCATTGTAGTGCGGCTGTGTGATGGGTAATTCCCAGGAGTGTCCAGTGCGTGTATAAAAACATCCCGTCGGTTGTTTCCAAACACAAACCCGTCAGTCCCCTGCCGTGTGGACTTCACCTGGACTCTCCCGGTAGACAGGAGCCGTACGCACAGGAACACGTCGGCGGTGCGATCTCGCTTCTCTCCCCCATTGAAATTTCGCCCACATCGGCATTCTTGGCAGTGTGCGACGCAGGTGTTCGGAGGAACCTTGTCAGACGCCAATATCTTACAAAGGTAAGTGCAGTTACAACTAAGCACTAGGGTTAGAGATACTGAGCTATGTTTAAGGAGGTAGATAGACTGCCGGAAACAAGCAACTGTCTGGCCTTGCCGGGGTTTTAAGAGATCCACGTAGGTTAAATTGAGCACAAGTTGCAATTATAGGTTAGCGGGGAGGGAGAAGGGGAGCGGCGGGCGAGCTCGGCACGTGAGCCGGAAATACGCTATTTTGGCTAATCCTGGTCGCTGTGCTTACCGCGCAGAAAAGGAGCACTTCGACAGGAGATGGATAGTGAGGTTTAAGGAAAGAAGCTTACACAGATATCACCTCTCGATCGGGATGCCGCAAAAAAAGGGCATCGCGCTTTTCAACCACTTCATAATGGATGATAGAAACAGTACAATGACAAAGATGAGTTCTTTGCAAACACGAACTAATGAACAACTTCCGGCCGCCCTTTTCAGTTCTTAGCTATTCATTCTCTATAAATGTGTAAGCGAGTTCTAATGTATGGCCACTTGAGGGAGCAGAAACATAATTACTTGTGCTATTGTTTGTGCTAGGTTTGACCAGGTATCATGAATGACAGATTGTTAATCGATAATCCTTGTTAGTAAAGCAAAAGAGCTTTAAAAAGCTGTCATCCTCTGCGTCATAGTCGTGAAGCATAAAACTGATACAGTCCCCGGCACCATCAACGGTTATACCCGTAATCTACAGAATTACCGGCCGCAGACGAAATGTCACTGTCACAGGAGTAGAAAGTATGCTGTGTCAGGTAATCGTCGGTGGTGATTTTCTGTTTCGGCGCGACCTGTCAGAAAGATGGCCCTTCTCTACGTCAGCGATAACCGCCCTCTGACGCAGGTGTACGGACCCGCACCTCTCAACCAATAGCTGTCGGATGGAATAATTGCTTAAACAGTGTGAGGCGCAACTACTTCAAACAAAGCACGTTCTTCCCGTACTCGCGTTTTAGAGCCAACACTAACGTTATCGAAGCAATCAGACGAATGCTCAGTCACCGAGGCGAAGAGAACTTCACAACTTGCCCAAAGGGGAACCACAAAAATGGACTCAATTGCGAGTCCACGCAGCGAGCCGTTCAGAGAGACCTTCCTTGACCTTGGTGCTGAAAGAAGTGTTTCTCCAACAGAAAACTCGATGCGTTGGCGGCGTGATGACCTTAGTGTCTTAAAGTCAGACTAACCCGATGATATCGATTTGTTAAAATGTCGCATTTCAGAAAAACCACCATCACGTGGCCCTATTGTTCTGGTCTGTCACACGCCGTGAAAACGGCTATTGTTCCCGAATCCATCCCGTGTAAACACGAAAAGACAACCCGGGGAAACCTGTGTTCACCGACTCCGCCGTGCTTTCAATAGAGACCTTAAACAAAGGGGGATCCTTCTCGCGATACGTCAATAGCGTAATTATTGCCCCTGGATAGATCTACAACAAACTGCGTATTATCGGACTTTGTTCGCAGTAAGTGGCCGATGTGCCCGAATCCGTCACAACGTTTATACGGGGGGACAATTTGTGCAGATGTGCGGAGATCCTATTGTGAAGTCGAGAGTGTCAAGTGGTGTTGACTGAACCCATATGTTAGTAAACAGTGCACACGGAGCATGTCCTGCAGCCAGCCGGCGGGACATGAGCTCCCCTCCCGGCAGTGGTTTGGCCCATCACAGCTGACAGATGGTTCGAGCAAACGACGCCCCCGTTCGGTACCTGCAGGAGTCGGGCCGCCGATTTATCGTCAATGGTGCAAAAATGTCGACGGGAAAGTGGGAAATTCAATAGCACATAAGATGACGTTAATGACACTTAATCTTTTTCCTTTAGCCTTATTCAGACCAGTCAATCATTTAACATAACCATTGAATCTTTTAAAGCAGAGGGTTTGGTAAACTGGTGAATGTTTCTTTCATCGATCTGAACTGCAGTCACTGATTACTGTCATTACGCTTTGGTGAAAACATGGACTAATCTTGGAAATTTACCAAAACAGTGATTCCCATTCACTCAGAGAAATCCCACGCATTGCTGGTGTTACATTCTTTAAGCGTAGGAACCCTTTATTCTGAATATTGCCTTTGGCAAAGGATGACACGAAAGGCTCTAAAGTTTCGCCTACTGCATGAAGATACAGTGAGTTCGCCTACTCGCAACAGGTTTGGCGGAGGGGCTGGTGGGTAATTCCTGCCGGCTCTACTGAAGTACCTTCGTCAATGCCAATCGCTTGATGGGCGGTGAGTCAGTGCAGGGATGTTGATGAATGACCTGTTTCTGTGCAAGTAAAAGCGCGCAGATCTTGAGATATACCGTACGTCAGTAGTGGCACACGTATACCCGTTGTCTCATCTCTCGGCGAAGTTCTCGCTGTAAAACAGATGAGAAATTTCCGCGCTATCGGTTCACGGTAGTGTAGGCAAGTTGGGTCCCACTGCATCAAGGCAATTCCAATTTCAGTGACGGTGCCCTCTATTTCGATCCTCATATTCGTTTATCTTGTACGGGGAAGAGGAGCTCTCCAAGCCTTCGAAAATCGATAGGCAATATTGTATCCCAACGACCCAGCGTTTCCCGTTTGCACGAACACTGCCAGAACGACTTGTGCGTCCTGGCGGCTGACAGTTTTTGCCACCACCCTATTTGTACCTACTTTGCATGTGGAAAATTGGGAAAATAACGTGAAGAGATGGATGGGGTTGGGGCCGCCCACCGCCGATTGTAAAGCGCTGAGATAGCGGGTAGGGCACACGTTCGTATTCAACTGGTGCGCCGCTGCTGGAAAATATACGTTGTTGCAGTCCCAGAAGAGGGTTGCTAACAAAGAAGCACGTCACTCGAAACAATGCAGCACTCCGCCCTATCTGGAGACCGCGTTCGAGGTTGAGCTTCGTCACGCTAGCCCAGAGAGGAGCTCCTCGGGTTGGAACAACAGGTGTCCCGGGAACCAACAGGTTGAGCGGCCCGCGCAGGCCTGATCAAGGCGGGTAAGGAATAATCTCTGGGTAGGATAGGAGCCGGATCGGGAGGGGGATGTCAGCGCGCGGGGAAGACCTGACCAACCGGCCTGGGAAATAGGAGATAGGATGCCGGCTGTGATGGTCCAGTCACCGCACCACAGGGATGAAAATGTCGGGCAAATAGTCCCCCGTCAATTTTGGTAGACAAAAGTTGCTGCGGGTAGCAAAACGGTGTAATTTAGTTATCAAGAAGTATCGAGTGAGCGGGATAGGTATTTGGGGCCGCGGGCTTATTGTGTAAACGCGCACACGCTCCGTGAGTCATTCCTAATAAGTCCAATTACAACAAAAGAGCAAATTCATTAGTCAATGCCTAGGCCACGGTTCCTATTGGAGGAAGGCTGTTGTGCCATAAGTATGAGATAACGGTGCTGCACCGGAGGTGTTGCCACGGGCGCTAGCCGCTATTTGTTCTTCCCTGGAGCTGCCCGCGCCCCCTCCACCGGTCGCGCGGGCTTGACTGACACAAACCACGCCTCACTGCAGCGGGACTGACAGCTCGGGTGCTCCCGCCCCTAATTCATCTTGAAATTTGAATTAACTCATACAAACTAAACGTTTTTGTTTGCTAATTTCACCCCCGACTCTCCAGGGGCCCTTGATGGATTAAACTTAAGCATTTCCATTTGCAGTCACACCTGATCTACGCGGCGGCTGCTCAGTATAAATCTCTCTCGCACTCAGGTGGTGGTTAGTCGGACCCGGAACTCGGCAGGCCCAGTCTCGCGCAGGAACTTCAGCAGTCATGCCGCGGTCGTTCCTCGTCAAGAAAGTCAAGGCGGAGGAGTGCAGCTACCCGGCTGCCGCCCTGCACCCCGGCCCGGGCATGGCGCAGACCTGCATGCCCAGACCACCGCAGAACGGACAGAGCCTCACCGTGCGACTCAGTAACGGTACGTGTTTGTGTTTTCCTTTGTCGTTCTTCCGGGAATGCGGAATGCGTACCCGTAACCTAACCCTCCTATGTTGCTCATGTATGTTTGGTATGTTATGGCTTTAATATATTGTGAGATTATTTTGTGTTTTCCCATTTTTTGCACATTAGACGATATCACAGGATTTGCTATGAGTTAATTTTTTGCTTTGACTCCATTATTTTATCAATGAACGATGACTGGCCGCTGACTGGGTTACGCAGCGCCGCCCTGTAATATCCATTGCATCATCTGTTGATGCCGCTGTTGTAGCAGGAATATCCATAGTATTACGCCGCTCCTGATCCAGCAATAGGCTAAATGCTTTGTCAACCGCACGCGTTGAAGTGCGCCGCTGATTAAAATACGCCTGGGTTTGTTTACAGAGGATATAATCTGTAGAGCGGCAAACCGTACTTGAGATCCAATGTTTGTTATGGGGCATTACAGTCAGCAAACACTTGAGTGAATGGCAACGGCTCTGCTGTGAGTGTGTACGGAAGTAATATTGGCTTCCTCTCGCATGTTCAGACGATCGGTGTCCCAGGGCAGGGTTCTCTCACTTAGTACTTTATTCTGCTTCATTCAGGCCTTTGTGCTGGCCGGTTTATTTTCCGCTTCGCGCGGCAGAATGGCGATCATTGTCCGCCGATGATCATCATGAATAAGAATTCCCGACGTACCCGCCTCTTCATCAAACGGCATAGTAGTCAGCCATTCATTCCGGTCTGGTCCCCTGTTAGGGGCTCAATCACCTAGTGTAAACACCGCATGCTGATTCCTTCCTTTGCTCTTTTCTGCAGGTTACATCCACGACTACATCCCGCCGGTGTACCCGCAGGATGCCGTGGACTGTCAGCAGAACGTCACGGCGACGGGGAACGGGACAATGGTCTATGACATACGGGCGACGGCGAATGACCCTCCGCCCCCGCTGCCGTCCCATCCGCACGCGCCCGCACAGGAGTACGTCAAACCGCAGAACTACCCGACAATACACGACCAGACCAGCGTCGCAGACATGCAGGACATGCAGGACATACAGAACATGAACAAAGTGCAGCAGCAGCAGAACTCGACAAAAACTGTGGGATATATCCAGTGCGACGCGTTTTACATTACGGACGGACGGTCCCGCAGGAAAAACGGTGAGTCCCCGGCACGGGCCCAGCGGTACACGTGTAACGAGTGTGGGAAGCAGTACGCCACATCGTCCAACCTGTCGCGCCACAAGCAGACGCATCGACCGCTGGACTCTAAGCTGGCCAAGACGTGTCCGACGTGCGGGAAGGTGTACGTGTCCATGCCGGCACTGTCCATGCATGTTCTGACGCATCAACTCTCGCACAAGTGCGATATCTGCAACAAGGCCTTCTCCCGTCCATGGCTCCTGCAGGGCCACATGCGCTCACACACCGGAGAGAAGCCCTTCGGCTGCGCCCACTGCGGCAAGGCCTTCGCCGACCGTTCCAACCTGCGGGCGCACATGCAGACTCACTCCGCCTTCAAGCAGTACAAGTGTAAGCGCTGCAACAAATCCTTCGCACTCAAGTCGTACCTCAACAAGCATTACGAATCTGCATGCTTTAAGCAACAGTAGCATTAAGGAAATACTAAACGTCCGTTCACTTCCACATGCATACACATATATCTATTCCCGACAGGAATCTAGTTCTTCCAACAAACTAGGAATAGAAAAATCTATAGTGGGGCTGGGACCAAAAGTGGACCATGTGCATGCATGGCCAATAAGGGCTTGGTCTGTTTTGACCTGTTAGACCCTGGTGTATGAGCAAACCTGGCTGTACTCTCATGATTGCAACCAGTGGGCCCCGCAGCTACAGGTTTCGATTCGGGAGCGAACAAAGACAGTGTTACGGGCTGGGGGATTCGGCGGGGTAATAACTGGCGAATTCTAGATTAATGTCTCCCATTACCCTGTCAAGATGGCGTCCGAAAATAATCCAATAGCAAATTTTGTAGTGCAAGAATAATAGTAATGGGAAACATTGTATATAGTACTGGTGAGTCATGTTGGTGTGTTACAATTGCTTACAATGTTAGATATACTTAGGACCGATTCCTCTCTGTTTCATGCAGCTTAGAACAAAGCACGAGGACGCTACAGTACAATGACTTGTACCCAGCGAGACGGGCTCTACTTGATTACACATGCAACAGCCGTCAGCAGGGAAATACGGGGTCTAATGTTAGATTTTCTAATTTATTCTATTACCTCTCTAATCTATTCTATAGCACATTTGCCGAAAGCAGGAGTGTTACAGTGTTAGCCCTGACGCGGGGACCTGTGTTACATTGATGTTTCGTTGTACAGAATCGCAGCTTTGCGATGTAAAACTCGGAGTCAGAAAAAAAATTGCAACATGTTGATGCCTGCAGCTTTAAATCGTCTTCAGACGGCACGCCGCTCGTCCTAGGGACCATAAATAGCAATCAAAGATGACGTTTTTGTATGACTCAGGCCGGGAGAGTGCAACGCGCCGTGATGCGATGATGCAGATACGGCAAAGCACGGCGTTTATCAAAAAGTCGAGCGGCGTCTAGGTGTGTAACAGGTAGTCTGTAATCTAACAGGTAGCAGCGGGGAGGGGTGATAGCTCTCCGCGCTTGTGGACTATGTCAAACCGTGTGAAGGGAAATGTTAATAACGCCCTTTCTCTTCTTGGCACGCACGCCATGCAAAATTCATGCCCTCTAATTGATTGAAAGAGGTCGTAACGTTCATTCTGCTATTGATTCGGATTGTGGGAGGGCTTCGCACGCCCACCCCCTTCAAATCAACGCCGTTCCTATCACGATAGAGCTCACCCCTCTCCGCACTATGGTGTCTTTTCTTAGCCAAGGATGACCACTACAATCATTCCATCTGTGTGTCAGATACCATGTGAACATTTGTGCAATTCTGTGACGTACCAGTGGAGTTTCTGTGCAATGCAGTAATGATAATATTATTCTTTATATGACACGATACGATAGAATGTAAATGATGAATGTGTGACAATGATTTATAAGTTCTGTATAGCAACAGGAGCTAGCCTCCGACCCAGTCTTCCCTATCTCTGCGACACAGTACCAAGCCATTCACTATTTTAATCAACTGTACCTACATGTGCGGTGATACATAGAATAGCAAATCTCTGTGATTGAAGGGAGAAGTCCACGGGGACCGACTTTGTCATTATCTTCGCAATCATCAAGGGGCCAGGCAAAGGGACTCACCGCTATCTTTTTTGTAACCAATTCTGTGAATCAACAGTTTCAATGCAAAAGATAGACATTTTTTTACAAAACCTTTCATTTTTCGTTTCTCACTTGCACATATTTGATGTAAGATTAACTGAACCAAACGGATATGCTCAGCTTTAGTGTTGCTTAGACTTCTCTTTGTAAGCTTAAATCTTTTTTCGCCCTCTTTGTTTTTCCGATACAACCGTTTCCAATCTAAATGATTGAAGCAGTGTAATTCACATCACGCCTATTGATGGCTATGTCGATCCTATGATATCACAATGGGATGCCATTCTAACGTACTTGTATGCACGTTAGGGCTCTTCCAACGTAGGTTGATATATGCAATATAAACTTCTATGTCACCACTCTGTATTTACCGAAGGCGTTTGAAATGTGTTTAGTAAGCAATACAGGGACTGGCATCTCTATTGTGACGTCACGTTGTTGCGACCCTCCCCCCGAAGGTTACTGGTCGGTCCCCGTGCCCTGACAGAAGGGAGAGTTGATCTCTCGGTTGTTAATAATGTATGTGTCTGTCTCCAGACCGACTATTTGCCATCTCTGTACTGACGGCAGATTTAGTAAAACAGACGGACGTCTATAAACCACACACTGTCTCTTACTTCATAACTGTGTCTGGTGTCTCCACGTTAAGCCCCCGAGTCTTTAGCCATAGACTACCGCACGTGATTAATGTATTGCAGTGTTACCGGTGCATTGAACTGTTTCCAAACAAAGATTTTAGTTTTTTTTACCACCGTATGATCTGCAAACATGGTTTAAAAGTACTGCAACCACTTTACAAACAACAAAAATTATTGGTATCATTTTATGATATTCTCCATTACATATGTTCCAACAGAGATTTTAGTTTTTACCACCGTAGATCTGCAAACTTAGTTTAGAAGTACTGCTATCACTTTGCAAACAACAAAGAGTATTAGTATGATTTTATGATATTCTCCATAACATTTAGTGAAAATGAGTATTGTCCTGTCCTGTATTTGTCCTCTGCGTTGGTGGCAGCATAAAATAAGTTGGAATAGCTTGAGTGTGCCGTCACCAGGTCCAATCATAAAATATTGGAATATAAAAGAAAGAATTTACCACTGTATCTGCAAACTTGGTGAAGTACTGCTATCACTTTGCAAACAAGAAAGACTAATAGTATGATTTTATGATATTCTCCATAACATTTGCCGGTCCAGGGAAAGAAGGAAAATACTATAGCGAATTCGAAATGGAAAATACAATGGTGTCACACCCAATCATTTCAAGTTTTGGCATTGACCTGTGTTCTGTGGCAACTATGGCCGACAAGAAAGCCATGTTGCATGCCTTCCTTTTGTGGAACAAAACTCTTTCATCTTAATGCCTCCTGAAGGTTAACAACAGTGCTGATATATTGGCTATTCAGTTGAGTGATCGATGAATCGGGAGGGCGGGTCCCTCCTTTGCTGCATGATATTTGAAAAGACAATTGCGAGGACCCAGTAGGCCCAGTGATGGGATGAATTTATTATAGGCTGCGCGATGAATGAGTGAAAAACAGATGGCATTCTTCTAGACATGACATGCGGGACGGTTGAACGTCTTTACCGAGTGAAGGAATCTTCGCTGAAGCTAAGACGGAGACAGATGGGCCCTTGCCGTGATGCCGTGAGTTCGGAACGTGCCTGCTGACGCAACAGATGGGCAGGAAAATCACCTGCTGTCTTTGAAATCAATGTCACAGCGCGGGGAAAACCGTCATAATTTCATCAAGTATAAACTACAGAGGCGAGGAACGGAAACGCTCAAAATTCTCAAATCTTAGAGCAATTTACACGAGATTTTTTTACTGGAGAGAAAATTCGACAGACGTCAGTGCACTGTACTGTACAGCACAGATAAAATGATAATAGCATACACAACACCCACACCAACGGCAATATGTCGTACATGTACCGTTCTGAATAACACAGTAACAGAGCATCAATCACATTATAAACGCTTTGCAATTCTGACACGTTGATACAGCACAGGATGTGAGATATTCCCTCTATGATGATGTACTTGAGAGAAGAATTAAGGGATTGTCTGGGAAAGCCACATCCTTGACGTTTGTTGATATGGTGACGTCAGCACTCCTACAGTTCAGGGTGTGTCCGATGTCGTGCAAATTTGAGATTATTCCCGCTTTTCTCACGTTAGCAAGGACAAAACTCAAACACGTCATAACCAACTAAAAAGTCATTGATAATGGCTTAACTTCAAGGCCTCAAGTCGCCCATAAGTCTTGAAAATGTCATATATTGTCAACCGTCTATTCTATGCAACAAGGTATAAACCTTACAGAATTATAAGGGTTTGTATCGAGCATAACACAATGGGGGATGTGGACGTCGTAAACATAAACCCAAAAATAGAACACGTAACCAGTGTAAACAAATAACTGAACGGTATCTATGAAACAACGTTAAAGGAAAAAGCTCACGGAGACTTTAAATCAGCTTGGTATTGCTCCATGGCTTACAGTTAAGTGTGCTAGAATGGTTCTCTTTTTCGGAGAAAAAAATACCGTGTATTAAAACAGAGATCCCGAGACTTCGTCTCAAGAGACAGAGGAGTCTTAAGGATCGATAGGCCCCTGCCCCTCCCGAAGGCCATCTCGTCTTTTCTCACCCTGACTGTCAAGACGTTGATCAGACAGGTGGCAAGGTGATGGTATTTAAGTTTATGGTCCAGTATTGTTTCGCTGTAGGCTACAACACGTCAAACTTTACCTTGACAAATTTGGGCCAAATTGAATGATTGACGCCCATTGAACCGGGCCCTTGGATAGCACGAATGCTGAAAAGGTTGGCTGAACCCGTATGTGCTGAGGAAACCTGGAAGAGAAGGCCAGATTCCCGGGCACGGACAACAGTTGCACAGCAACAGGCTAAACACGGTATAGCGCGCACGCACTCTTGAGGCAGACCTATGCATGCACGAACCCGGGGGACCTGTCCAGGGGCCTGGTGGAAAATGGCTTCCGCCCAACATCGCATGCAACTGGTAACCAAACAGAACAATAAAGCTCCGATGATTGTTTTGTGTTCTCCCGGCGGATTCCCGGCGTTACAAGGCGCCGATCGATCGGGACACGCGACTCAGAAAGGCGCCGTAACACGTGGATGGGTTTATAGAAATATCGGTTTATCCGGTAATCACGGGAACCGTGGCTCGCAGATGCTGTTTTTCTGATGATGCGCTCGATAGGCCGCGAAGTGCTCTTTCCCGGTACTCAGAGAGGCAAGGAGGCTATCATTATACGGTATTCTCGGAAAACAAGTCGGAAATATAGTCGCAACATGCATCTATATGACGCTTACAATGGTCTACAACGTTTGACGCAAATAATTCTGTAATGTACGTGTGCACGTAAAAGCGTTTTTCTCTCTGCTTGAAAGGTTTAGATAATCCTCACAGAATCAGTTCTTCATGTCTATTATACAAGCCATTATTCATGACATAATAACTAGGGTGAATGAAGGGCAGAGAACATGAGGTTCAGACAAGTTCAAACGCGATGTCGTTAATTTCTTTTCGTCCCTAAATCCATCAGTTATGTGCTCTAGACCAACGCTAAATGTAAAGGGGAGACTGAGAGAAACACAAGTGGGCGGAAATGAGGACTCCAAATCCTCACAGTGACTGGAGCCGCTACTCCAGACGACAATCACTCAAGAGTAACAAGAAAATAACAGGTGTCTTGACTACGATTTCTGCAGGTAAAACAAAGGATGGATTGGGAGAATCACGGTTAAGCACAGACATTGAGAACAGGGATTAGAAACTCCGGCGCCCGACAAGCAAGTGCGCGTGGTACATAAGAGATTTGGTGGCGGTAGTCAAGCCGTCAGCAACATTTCTGAGCTGGGGCGAGAGAGTGAAAAATGACTATGTTTGAAGAAGTTTTAATATGTCTTAAGAGCTAAGACTCAGAGGAATCCAAGAAGATATTTCTTTGTAGAAGAAATTGCGTCTGAGCCTCGGCGGTCTACGTAAAGACGAAAAACTCGTCCGTTGAAAGCTTCCGTTTGTCATATGATGCACCTGTAGGTGAAGTCTTTCCCCAAACGTGTGCGTTCGCTTTATGAATGCATGTTATTGTCCCTTTGGAGTGCTGTTATTACAATGAAAGTGTAATCAGTCAATTCAATGTTTACTGAATCTTTTTTATCGCTATAAAGTTGATTGCGATGCGCCTGATGTTACCGACGCTGTCCATTTAGGCGCTACTTTTAGGCCCAACTCGAAGTGTCATTTTCCCTTTGTTTTCCGTACTTCAGGGAAGGCTTTTGTTGCACGAACCGTACAAATTACGGCTGGTAAAATTGGTTGATCACGGCGGCGACACCGAGAGACACGGGGCACTTCTAAATCATGGCAATCCATCAAGCCGGTTCGAAAAAAGCCATTACAGCGGCACCTGTAACCCCCGCGATTTAATTTACCAGTTATACTCACTGTTTATTTTGTTAAGATTGGATTAATGTTCCTTTGTGCGATGCGACAAAATTGTTAATGGAAATAACCACCAGGCGAAGCCGCTCGCAGGCCGGCTGGACGGCAGTCCGTCCAAATCTCCCGTATTTTATCCACAAGCCGGGAGGATCCGGAGAGGCGTGTTGTTGTAAGAACTATCATTTGTCTCTTTCTGACGTTATCAAAAGCTTGCATTACCATTCCTAGCTCTCGACGCCGGAAAAAATGATATCAGCCCAATAAAAATGCATATTTACTTGATCATATATGCGCTGTATCTTTCTCCTCATACTATAACTTCGTTTTCAGTACTGTATAAGCATGAATATGACAGCTAACATAGTTTAGTCTCTAAAGAAAACTTCCCGACTAAGACAGGGGATATGCGCAGTAATCGCGTCTGTTTCTCAGGGGCACAGAGTTACGACAGCAAACTTTGTGGGGTTTCACCTGGGAGAAGCGGGGTTCGGAGGGTTGTTAGAATCAATCAAAGGCAAGGCTAAGCTGATAGGCCCTGTGGTACAACATTTTCGGTACCGCCCGAGGGCTGGCTTATGCACGAGTAGGGAGAGAGGGGCGATGCACAGAGTCTCTGACGACGCCGGGATTTTATCTGGTTAACCAGGAGTCGCAGCGCCTGTTGGGATAAGTCTTCGCTCCTCCCCTTAGCCTACATGTTGTCGAGTTTTGCTTTTTGGATTAGACGTCACGGCGGATGTTAGTGCAAAATTGGAGCGGGACCCGCAGAGAGGCGACGTCATCACATTATCCCGGCAAACAGGTGGGGGAAGAGGGGGAGAGATAAGCGCCACATCAGCCCCGAGGCGTGGCATTGTTCCCGGCACGCGCGTGCTGACGGCCGCGCCTTTATCGCCCCTGCAGACGGCCGCCTTTGTGACACACAATGAAGCCGCGTCAAGCACCCAGCTTTGTGCTTTGGGACCTCACGGGTCCTCCATGCAATTTGGAAGGCTTGAAAACGGCATCGAATTCGCAATGAAGTTGACTTCGCCGGAGAGTTCTCTGAAAAGAAGCCCATTTAACAGCGTCGGTTTACCGGCCAGATGGGAGAAGTGATAACTCGATAATAATGAGGTCCAAATAAAAGATAAGGTTCAGAAGGGACAATATTCCGAAAAATCAGAACCGCATACGGGTGCTATTCAACCCCCAAATGTTTGCAAAACAAACCGCTTTACTGTTCGCAACAATTACACAGGAGCGTCAGCCAGGTTTTAACAT